TTTTTGTTCCTAGGTTCACGTGCTTCTCCAAATGGAACAACAATTGTGTGCCGAAGGGAATGGCATAGAGGATCTTGGCTGCGCCAGAGATGATGCATGGATGCAACTTTATCTTGCCGCATGTAAACTATTGGAGACTTTATGCACCTTGCCAGCTGGATACTTGGCTCAATTCCAAATGTATGCTAATTCCCATACCGAATTTAGCATGAAAATTATATGGTTTCTGGAGATTAAAATAAAGAGTAGAGTGTTTCCCTTTGCGCAACACAACCACAAAATTTAGGTGTCACTGGGCCTTCGTCAACTCTGTTTCCACTAGCAAAACGGACTTATTCCTTCCATTCGCAGGAAGGTTAAACAAATTACTTCGAAATAAGGTCCGTTTCATTATGATTATCTGATCTGAATTTTGATTGATAACATTACGCCCTTTTCAATTATTCCCATCTTACATTATCGGTCGTATTTTTAAGTTTGGAAAGCTAACCCCGGAAGAATTGGCGAATCTGTCACCATCATTGTGCGGAATGAAAATGCTGACTAGTTTTGAGGAACTTCGACCATTCTTCTATGCCCTTGCAACACAGAATAAAGCTCTGCCAGGGACTCAGGTATTTCTGTGCTTTTGAAAATTCTTAGTGACTTCTGCGTGCTTCGTTAAAGATCCTCTCGTAAAGTGGTAATTTTTAGGGCGTCGGGACCGAATCTTCTTTTCTAGCGGGCTCACTTTCATATAAAAATGCGGTGCAACGGTTGGAACATGCTCTTTGCGTGGATTTTGCGGAGCACTGGCAGCTTTAACTGCTATTGTACTTATTAGTAATTATGAATGCTGTGATGCTTTGTAGTTTTATTTTTGGACGAGTACATTCCCTCCATAGCCAAGTTTTTCTAGGATGCATTATTGAGATGGTTCAAAGCTAGTCTCTTCATCATAAGAATATTTCCATCTCTTAAACAAAGTCGGTGATCATTGAGCACATATTTTTTTTACAAGTCGTTATTATCATTTCCCTATTATTGGTATCTCAGTTGTGATCAGTATAGTAGCGTGTAGAAATTATA